TTCCAGGTTTTATTTTCACTGCTCGTGCCTATTCAAGAGATTCCATTGAATGCTAGGCGATTACCGATTGATGAAAGCCATTATTTTTGTAGAAATACATTGTTTTAAAGACCGTTTAAAGACAGTTTAATACGCCAAAATGATTAGCAGATAATACAATGGACATCAGAAATTTTATTAACGAAAATATACCATATAATAAATGATTCAGACTACTTCCATTGAAAATTCTTTATCTCCATCGCTATTCTTAAACTGATAAGTTTCCGGTAGCCTTGGAGTATCCATACAAATCTCTTTAAAGTATAAATCAAATCAGTCCATTGCATTGTCTGCCTTCCCAATCAGCAGTTACGTTGACTCTTATTCTTTTTTTTCTTTAGCTATGCCGAAATAGATTTACTTGTGAATTTTCCAGTTAGACTCGAGCTTTTCTGATTCGTAGTAACTCATGAATTAATTATACACACAGCATGCAGTTCCAAAACTTTCTTTCACTATCGCGTGTATGTACGATGACTACTCGTCGTTGCCAACGTATTTAATTTTAACTACTTTTTACACGTCAGTTTGTCTTCATATTTTTCTTGCGCGCTGCTGCTACTGCCTCTGATTTTTGTTATGCTACCGAGCTAATCCGAAAAATTAGTTTGCCAAGCGATTTTTTAAACTTTCCCTTTTTTTCCGTGGTCAAATTAAGTTGTTGCTTTCCGATGTGGGACTACTTTATCATATAGTACTTTTGCATTTGCATATGTCATTTTTCACTCAGGTAATTTATTAAATTTGTACTTTACTTAATCGCATTTTTCTATTCTTGACATATTTGATCAATGTATGAGTTTCAGATTTCCGCATATTGCGTGATCATCATTTCATCACTATCATGTCACAAACCTAATCGATTTTATCTCTCCCTAATCATATCAAGAGTTTTATGATTGTCTTCCATCGCAATATCATGTCTGATCATATCAAAACAGTTCTACTTATTTTTGATTCTATCCATGACATCAAAATTTTTTATACATATTTTTACAACGCTGCATGATATTATAAAATTACATTATTTCGTATTAAATGCATCTTCCGTAAAAGTAATCCGTATAACTACACCAATTAACCCAAAGCAAAGTTTACTGAATAATTCGAACAAAATTGTCGGCAAACAAGATCATCAACATCAGTTGAGCAAACTCTATTAACATCTCAGCGAAAAGAATTCCCACGAAACCCAATCCCATCTTTACTTTTATAATCGAGTAACGAACGAAGTAAGGATGCTCAGCGAGAGAGTTTACGTGCGCCGATAATTAGGTGGGTTGGCACTCAAGTAATTGCACCCACTGGCGATCAACTTAATCTGATGAGTTAAGACATTTTGCCAGCCTCTAGGCTCTGTATTGTCATTTTTGCTTGATATGTGATGCGAATGAGGGCACAAAAGGGGAGAAGAAAATGAGCTACTTTGACTTTTACTGATGACTGCTGCCTGCCTGCGGCTTTGTACGCCGGAATATGGAACGTTTAGCAATATGTTACAATTTAGGGGGTTGCGCTCCATTGACGTTTAGGAGATAAAGGAGAAGGGAATATGATACTCTTTTCATGCATTTTTCATTTAAAATTTAAATTCAGCCTTTGATTGGATAGACTTAATTTTTTTTACTAAAACATGTGAGTGGCACAACGTTTTACTATTCGGACGGATTTTGCAAATCAGTATACGCGAAAAATCCATTCGATTTCCAAATTCGAAACTAAACTCAAATCTTTCCCTTTTATCTAAAATACAAGACCAATAAAAGTTTGATATCTATACAGGAAGACATTAGTTCCTGATACCTTAATGAATTATCAGCGTACTCGTACTTTGAACAATATAGTATACCCAGAGTTCATAAGGCTCTGCGTGGGCGCGAAAAACCAATTACCTGAATTCGACCTTCCCATCTCCCCCCCTCCCCTCTCTCTCTCTCTTTCTCTCTCTCTCTCACTTTCGGTCTCACGACACTACCAAATTAATGACCGAACAGCGTACGATCCTTGGAACTCCTAACCAAACCTCTCTTTCTCTCTTCCTCTCTCTATCTATCTATCAACTTCAATATATGCATGATGTTTGTTCATCCTTTTGTTCATCGAAGTAGAGACAGGAAATGGTCGATTTGTGTGACCAATATGATGAATCCTTTAAGAAAAACAAATGCGTGTCAATTCAAGTGATTTTTTTATTAAATAGATTTATTCTGTCGGAGTTTTCTTTTTTATAATTTTAGTACACTATTCTATCAAGATTATTCTGTTTGATGTCTTGATAATTTTTTAGGTAAAGGGTATCGTATTTTACCCAAGATTACTTGTTGATAACGTGACGCATTTTGCAAGAAATAAATGTTATTTAATTTTTTGTTTTTTTACATATCTCTTAAAATTTAACGATGGAAAAGCACTAAGAGAACATAGTTCATACTAACCTTGTATTTTCGCTAATATAAATCTTCTTTCTAAAACAAAATTCCGTAACAGTGACAATCCAAGCGCGTTAAATCCTCAAATATTCTCAGCGTCGACTTTCCGTAGTTGCAAAAACTCAACTTTATCTTTTAAAATTCACATAGCTAGAAAAAGCAGCGACACATGAAATTTTACATCTCTGGTTCTCCCTTTTCAGAGTACGAGGCATGCGTTTCAGATCGCAATCAGGATAAATGGAATTGAATTAATGTGTTCTGCCAAGCTTATGGTCTACGCAGTACACGTACTCTTGTCATTTTGTTTCAGCTTTTTTGAGAATTACGCATACGGGGGTTAAGTAGAAATTTGCTGTGATGACTTTTTAATCCTTTTTCTCATATTCATGGGCGTGCAAGTTACTTGAATTCTGCACGAAAAATAGTGTTTAAATGTAGGTCGAGTATTATATTCTTTTTTTCCTGCAAAGTTGATCCGTCTTCATATATTTGAAATCGCTATGTTTCAGCTAGTGCTTTGAAGCTCAAAAATTACAGTTACACTCGTAATGCATAGCAAAATCGTTTTTTTTTAATGAAGAAAAAAAAAACAAAAAAACCATGAAATCTCCATACCCTAAAAATCAAGGCCAAAGGCGCAATACCATAAAACCCAGAGCAGCAAACAGCAAAAAATGTGGATCATTTTTTAAAAATAACACTGAATTTTGTTCTTAACAATGTTGTAAGATTTTGCTACTGCAAAAACTTAGTAATGGACTTGTTATCATTTTACTGTACCGCGGTGTGTACTCTTGTTTCGGCAGAGTACGATTATAAGATCGAAAATAAGCTTGGATTTATACAAAAGATACTGCACCGTCGATTTACAAATTACATATAAATAGACACGCAGTCTTTTGATATTTAAACAAAAACGTATAAAATTGATTATCCTATCCTGGGTCGACGGGACAAATATTATCGCTAGATAATTAGCAAAAATAACCGATCAAATATTGAACTCAGAGAAATCCCCGCGAAGTTTAATAATCAATTATCTGGTTAAGACTGTAGTACGAATATTATGAGCCCGTAAGTGTTGAAAATCGTTAATTAGCCTTGGCATCTGTAGAAACTTATAGCTCAATCAATTTACATGGATTAATTGATAATTAGAGAGAAAGAAGGAATTCGTTTCCGAATGGGTTTATGCATCGCGGGTACGACGTCGAGATGATAATGGAGGGTGCAAACTTGCACATTGGCATCTAATTAAAGTTTGATGTTAATTAAGTGAGCGATGATGATACACGTGAAAGTTTATTAATTAAAACGGTAAGGAGCCTTGGGTAACGCATCGCTGTATAACGTACTTATTTATTTGCGTCTTCTTTTTTATTTTTAGAATGACCTTTGTTTGGTGAGTGCGTGTGTGAATTGGAAAGGGAGTTACTTCTTTTTCGTACGATGTAATTAAAAACTTTTCTACTAGCTCAAATTCTCTACGGATCGAAAGTTAAAGTACTTCGCAGAGAGCTTAACTGCGAGTTCGTGTGATTTACAGTTGCTTACTGTAAGTGGATGATTCGAATTTCATTGAATACGAACGAAAACGTAATTTGATACAATTTACTTCAACTACTGCTTACGTTCTTACTACAACTTTAATTGGTAGTTTAAGTTATTTTTTATTCGATCATAAATAAGAGATTTTTTTTTATTTTATAAAACTATAAAAAAATAAACGTCCATACGTTTCATTAATTATAATTAATTTACATATTCACAGAGCGAAATGCGAAATACGCCTATAGGATAATCTGTTAATCTCTCAATCGTCTCATTTAAATGAATAAACGTGAAAATAAGTAATTATGAATAGCACTGCTAGTTTTCTTTGAATTTTCAAAGATTTCTAGGAAAAATATCAGAAGATTAAAAAAAAAAATTTTAATTCTTAATTTGAATTCAGATGAAATGTGCGGAGTCACAATAAAAATTTTTATTACATGTATGAAAAACGCAACATGAAAATTCATACGTGTTTGAAAAAGTGAACTGAGAACTAAAGAATTTTGATAGGAATTCCGACAAAAATAGATGGAATTGGAAATTCACTAGCGAATTTTTACGGTTTTACAATTTTATCCATTGACCTATGTATTTATAATTTTTATTTTTTGTACCTTTTTGTTTTATCGCTCAATCTCTCTGACTCTCTCTCTCTCTCTCTCTCTCTCTCTTTATCTCTCTTTCTTTCTCTTTCTCTCTCCCTCTTTCTCTTTCTCTTTCTTATTTTTACTTTTGATTAGTTGAATCGGAAAAATACAAATAAACTTATTTCTTATTTAATAAGTTTATTTAATAAATAATTAATTTATTTCGACTTTATTGCTTTAAAATGCAAATAGTTTTTTTTAACTTTTAAGATTTAAAGATATCACTTAAAACGTAGAAGATAGTTATAAAGATTAATTTGATAGCTTAGTCAATCTGAAAGGACAAAGGAAAGAAATGATCCAACCAAATGAATTTTCTTTGCAGAAATGTTCTTGGTGCTATACAGATACTTAGTTATGAACGACGATACGAATTTAACGACTGTGCCAATAATGGAACTTTGCTGCTACGATAATGTCTATCCAACGTTTATTGATTCGGCAGTGTCGTCCCCATACCAGGCCAGTATTCTCATCAGAACTTCTTTGCCAACTAGACTATTGTTTGTGTCGTTTATTTTAATTTTTTATAGTTGCTCTGTATTTGATAAACAGATAAAAAAAATGAACGTATGTATTGACCAATGCTTGTTATAAACCGTTACAATGCAAAGCCACTTACAAAAAAGGGGAAAAATGAGATCGATTCATTATTGAAATCTAATGATGCAACAAAACACAAAAGTAATCCAGTCTTTTGGAAAAAAAGAGAGCCCTTGTTTTATTTGTGAAGAGAAACTACAAGCAAGCTTCCGACCGAATTTCCAGTCTTTTCAAAGCTTTTGGGCCATTGGCAGGCTGACGTGGGGGCTTGAGCCTCATTAAAACGTCAAGTATCTCTCATCCTCTATCGTTTTTCACTTGGCCCGCGTTGCTAACAAAAAAAGGTGACGCTCGAGTTTTTCAATTTAGTAGCCTTTGTGCGGGTATTAACGGCTTTCTCTCGCTCACTCCACTCCGCACAACGTCGAACCCCAAAAACAAAGTAACGCGCTCAGCCTTTGAGCAAAAAGATTTGACAATGAGCCCTGCTGCGTTTCTGCTATTCTTGCCATTTCATTGTTACCAATTTGCGGATTGTTAATGCTTCGTTATGGTTTAGTCCATCGAGTACAAAGTGTGTGCTTTTGTTTATTTCAGACTGAGTTATTGTTGTATTTCAGTTTTCAAGTTAATTCAATTGATTTATTTTTATTGTTTATTTAGTTTTTGTCTAGAGAACGTTTTTCTTATTGAATCAATTGTATTTTTGAGATAAAAAGTGATTACAGATACATTCTTTGTAAGCCTGGTTTGATATTTTAAGAAATAATATATTTTTTAAACTTTAAATACCACCATTAAACAGATTAGGTCTTTCAAAAGTCATCAAAGTAACTTTCCAGGAAAGATTAGTCAAGAAACTTGGACAAATCGGGCTAGTTGAAAAAGTTGGTGAATTAAAGGAAAAAGGGGTTTTCTAAGAGTTAAAGTTAACTTTTGCACGACTGGAAAGTTTGTAGCAGAATAAAATTGTAATTTTCATAATAGGAATTGGATGCAAATTCAATCATAGTTAAAATAAAATTGTTAAGGGTGAAAAGTTTTTATGTGCAGGAAAGAATTAATGTTTAATTAAGGTACTCAATTAGCCCCCTGTTGAAAATATTGTGAAAATTACTTGTGAAAAATTAATCACGTGATTAGGGAATAATTCATAGTGAGAATGGAAACGAATGAGCTTCGTAACTCGATGATTTACAAGCAAGCTTACATTTTTCATAATATTCTATCTAAGATTATACCAAACTCAGCTCGTGATGAAATACAAGCACATACGTTAATAGCTACTAAAAAAGTGTTTTACTTTTCAAAGTAAAGCAAGTAAATTGCACAAACACTGTTGCACGTTACTACAGGTGACAAGCATTCCGTAGAAAAGTTGTATCTTTCAATTTATTTTGCTGGATGACAAACAAAGCATAAGTTCCGTGATAAAAGAGGAAAAAACATTGTGTAAACAAGAAAAATCAATATCAAAGAAAAATGACAATTTACAGCGAATAATAAAAAAACAATCGATTTGACACCGTTATGGATAAAAGATTGGAAAGCTGTAAAAATACAAAATAAAACAGAAGTCTAAATGTCTTTATTCTGCGATATTTTATATCGGTAATCACAAGTGTTTTTTCAGTGTACTTTTGAAACGAGTTGTTATGAATTGTTGGTAAAGATATAGCAACAATATTATTCTGTTACATATGTTTGAGAATACTTTTTTAACATTAAAATTGTAGTATAAATAATAAAGTTAATTTACGTTTTCAGGTAAGACATATAAAATTACATGAAACATGAATCGTCTATAAGTAAGTAGCTTTAAAATCAACGGTGCATGCTACAATATTTTTACTGTCAAAAATTATGCACAGAGTAACTACGCAAAATCACAGAAACTGTGCTTTATAAATAAAACCTAATTCACTTCTCGAGTCACAAGCTAAGAGAGTCGAAAACAACAAGAACACCGAAATCAATTCAATTACAAGCTACAAAAGAAAAGAACGAAAACCACGAGGGTTGGGCTCATAAAAAACGATTGGGCGGCTAAAAATCCGTAGCTGCAGTAAAGAACGTCGGAAGGTATGGATATGTGTGTGTATGTGTTCACGTCGGAAAAGCAGCGGAAAACTGAGCGACACTCTAAGAGAGAAAGGCTAAAAACGGAGAGGTCGAGGCTCGATGACGAGCCGCAAGTCGAGCGTGAAAATCGAAGCGCGGCTCAGGGAAAATCCATATGGGCAGTTTTGCCACGTCGCACTTTGCTACTGTGTATGCTGTCGGACAAAGTCTTTTTAAAAAAATTTAAATTCCTTCTTGCTTTTTTCTCACGCCGTTGAAATATTTTTCATGTTACAACGAATTTTATATTTCCCGAGGTAAATAGCGTTTCGGTGTTGCAGGCTTTCGCGCTTGTCATGTTTTTATTGAATATGAGAAAAAAAATGCAATTTGCGACTGTACTTTACAAAATTACTTTTTCAGTTCCTATCTCTCGAACGAATATGAAATTTTGCACACTCGCTTCCTTTTTCTTATTGCTCTTCAACCTTTACGATGTCATTTTTTTTAATATTGCAGTATAATAGATACGCTTTGCATTTTTGTGCAAAATCTCACTTTTATTGAATAAATCAAATAATTTTTATGCTTGATATTCTTTTTCTAAAATTCATAGAGATATTGATAACGTATAAAGTGAGTTTCATTGGGGCTTTCAATTTCTATTAGTCATCCAGAAAAGAGTGCAGCAAGAACCCACACAATCGGCTTGCCAATCCAATGGCTTTTCAACAACAACAAAAAAGTCTACAGAATCTAAATACAAAAAGCCTACTGCTGAATTTGCCAGACTGTCGAATCCGGTAAAGAGAGTGGCCATTGCTGTGCGATTTTTTTTCCATTCGCAGCATCAATTTGTCGTGTGAAGAAAGGAAGCTCTGAAGAATAAGCGGATCGCGTCGTTTCTAATAGCCAGTGACGTGCTTTTATTTTCGTCGCCGCCAGAGGGGCTTAACTTCGTTTTTCAATTTGGTCCCGAAATGTTCTCGAGGAGAGGACAGCGCCTTGAAAATAAGAAGAAAATTGGATTTTTTACAGCTGAGAGACATTTATTTATTTCCATTTTCTTTCAGCATCTGGACGTCCCTATGGATAGTACTATTTTTTAACGGAACCGCCACTTGTTCCTACAATGCAGATTCTTTATAGATTTTTCATTTAGTTAGAAGATTTACTTATAGAATTTATTTTATTCAATTTAGAAAGTTAAAAATAAATGACATTACATCGATAATTTTCTGTTGTAAAGAATCACAAATTCGAACGTATAATTAATTACCTTCATGATTAATCTTGGAGTGAATACATTTAGAATAAGTGACATTACTGATAATTTTACTTTTATTTCATTATTTGCCAACTCCCTAATTAAAAGAATATGAAATCTAATAAAAAAAGAATTTCGCAGTCGACTCATCCCTTGTTATTTGGGAAACTAATCAACGTGATATACGGCTCTTCTTAAGCTCGTCACTTTGTTTTTTATTCTGGAAATTATTGCCTCGCTCGTCATATATTATTAATTTTTCAGAATGGTTATTTACTTCTTAATGTTAGTGCAAGTCCTACGCAAATCCTCTCTCCCTCCCTCTCACTCACTCTCTCTTTCGCACTCCGAGTAAACTCATAAAGTTTTCTCTCGGTGTCAGCTGAATAAATGTGAATTCACATTCATCAAGTTTCAAAGCCATGAAAGTTTTCCATTGTTTGAGAACATTGTTTCCCATGATCTAAGTAGCTTTTAATTATATCGCTGGAAAAGTTTATTGTTAAACTTGTACCAAGTTTTCGTGTGCTGTGTCACGCTTATCGTGCGAAAATTTTAAGTACTCGCGATATAAATGTACAAAAGTTGATAAGTTTATGACATCATTCATTAATTACGTCAAAATTTCAATTATCATTGAATTTTGTGCAATTTGTATTCCCTCCCCCTGTAAGTAGTTTATTTTCACATCTTTTAGCCAATATTTCATTTACACTTTATTATCGTCACGACAACGTGCAGCTCGTCCACGTCCTGACAATTTACCTATGATGTTTGCCCCCATCATTGCTATATATATGAGTAAGACGATAAATTGCGCGTGATATTTGAATTTCGCGTGCTAATGGCCTATTAACAGTGATAGAACAATGGAAAATTAGTTTGGAAAATACATATCACTGTGATCGTTTAATTACGCTTGATTGATCATCTTTTTCCATTGGTTAGCTTTATATATTTAACAATATTTGCCATAGGTAATAATTGTGACCGAATAAAATGAATTTGTTTCAACATTTTTGGAAACAAAATCGTTAGAAGTAAATGAAAGAACTTTTTTTTTCATTCATGTATGGAAAATACGATTTTTACATTCAAAAATCCGAATGGATTTTCCAAATCTATTTCCCGATCTTCCGCGACAGAGCACCCAATGATAAAATAAACACGCACTAGACTGAGCAAACAGTCGATAAAAGAGAGAGAGAGAGAGAGAGAGAGAGAGAGAGAGAGAGAGAGAGAGAGAGAGAGAGAGAGGGATTGAATTATAAGTGATAATCCTGAAATTTAAACATTCATCATAATCACTTTCATGAACATAAAGAGATATCACGTTTATTGGTTATTCTTCCATCGTTGTAGTAAAACGTTATTCTCGTGTAATACAGCTTTAAGATATATGCTCTTAAGAGGAACAAAAATTCGCTCCCTTCGCCTCCAAAGTTTCGTAAATACGTTTAGCTGATGGCAACTTTCTTTCGTCTGTTTTGATTGATTTTATTTCCAGCCACCATTCGCGAGCCGTACACGTAATTACAACGTTAATTAAAATACAAACATTATGAAATAATAAAATAAAAGAGAAAAAATA